ACAGATCATAGTGTCCTTGGCTCCTTCCTTGGTATCTAGCTTACCTCTACCCCAACTTCTCCCGTCCCAAAGCATCCCTGCACCAACTCTGGCCTTGGGTTATACACTGGCTTCCCTTCTGCTTGCTCTTTGCCAACACTCCCTGACAGAGTGGGGAGGAATACTTGCACTCTATTGCTAGTGATAGCATAAATGTGTTCCCAGTGTACATCCCCATACCTAGTTACCCAAGGATGTTTTCACAGGGTCACATTATTGGAAATCTGTGTACAGCTATTATGCATCCATAAAAATGAAACATTTTAAAAAGCTAAAAACCAAACCAAAACAAAAAAATCTAAATTCCGTTTGCAACATTAAGGATATTTAACAGTTGCCTGTTACCTATTATTTTAACAATATTCTACACAGCTTCATTTTACTTTAAAGTGATATTTTTCAATCACAGCTAGGTATTTAAATAATCTGTGGACTAATAACTTGCTGGAATCCCACAACCCAAAGAGTCGGACTAAAAGCAACAACTTTATATGGATATATTAAATTACACAAGGGATACACTTCCTAATTTAGACAAAGGAAATGCAAAGAAAGAGGAAGGCCAATCACATTTGATAGAAATGATCTATTGATCTACTTGTAAAGCGATACAGTTTTATGATTCAGTACTTCCGTTTAGAAATCCTATTGGGCTTTTCAATGAATAGATAAAACTTGTTTCTGTTTAGCAAGATCCATGTGCGTGTATATGATTAATGTGCCTAAATCTATTATATTTGCGTATTAAGGATTGGGTTTTAAAGCTAAAAAAAAACTTGATGATTTTGATTTTACTGCTAGGTGGTGACTAGAGAGAAGACTGTTAGTGGAGGTTGTAAGCAGAGAGGAAATTACTATGGGGGGTTGGAGAAGAGGCAACCTATATCAAGTAGTGGCAGGATGTCGGACATTGCTGTTGCCTATGGTAACATGAATGGTAGGATATGCATGTGCCAATGAACTTGTGGACCTAGCCAAGGAGATTTCCAGGTAAAATGTTTAAAATGCCAATGGGCTTCTTTTAATTGCTTATGATAAAGGACAAGAAGAAAAGAAATGCACTAAAGACAGATCTGTTTGGTTTTCAAGCAAAATTCTAGCCAGTGAAATATTTGCAAATTAAGAAATAGCCTTAGGATAGCAATGAAATCATGGATGTGGCTATAAAAACTTTTTTTAAGACTCCAGAAAGATTTAGTGTGGTGCTTTGAAGACTATCTCAGGGCTTCTAAGAATCTTAGACATGTGAAGTAGAGAGAGATCTGTTTCAAAAAAAAAATGATGGATGTGAAGCTTGGAGCCTGGAATTAACCTTAGGAAGATTTACATAAAATCATTAAGTTTTTCATAAAATTGTATTGGATATGAATTTTGGAGCATGGCATGAACCTCAGTAAGACTGATAAAAAAATCCACATGGTTTTTAAGATACTTGTATTAATGAAAGAACTGCCAGCTTAAACACAGAAACGGTTCAAAATAAAAAGAAGTTTTTATTTTTTATTTTATTTTTTTATTTTTTGAGACAGAGTCTCGCTCTGTTGCCCATCTAGAGTGCCATGGCGTCATCCTAGCTCACAGCAACCTCAAACTCCTGGGCTCAAGTGATCCTCCTGCCTCAGCCTGTGAAGTAGCTGGGACTATAGGCATGTGCCACCATGCCTGGCTAATTTTTTCTATTTTTAGTAGAGACACGGTCTCACTCTTGCTCAGTCTGGTCTTGAACTCCTGACCTGAAGAGATCCTCCTATCTCAGCCTCCCAACGTGCTAGCATTATAGGCATGAGCCACCGTGCCCAGCCAAAAAGAGTTTTTTAAACCTTTGTGTTTCTATTGGCATGAAGCAGACTAAGAGCCCTGCTCAGCTAGAAATATGGGCCATTTTTAAGGAAAAGGAAAGACATCTCAGAGGGTGTGGAGCCTAGAGTTCAGAGGACAAAGCCAAAAACTATGGATTAAAGCAAGTATCAGCAAACTACAGCCCATAGGCCAAGGCCAGTCGATTGCCTGTTTTTACATAGCCTGTGAGCTAAGAGCCCTGGCAGCTTCTACTTTTGCTGCTGCTGCTTCTTCTTCTTCTTCTTTTTTTCGAGACAGGGTCTTGCTTTGTTGCCTGGGCTGTAGTACAGTGGTGTCATCATAGCTTACTGCAACCTCAAACTCCTGGGCTCAAATGATCCTCCTGCCTAGACCTCCCAAAGTGCTAGGATTACAGACATGAGCCACTGCACCCAGCCAGCTTTTGCTTCTTGAAAGCCAGCTGCCATCACTATCTTGGTGTAAAGAGAAAGGAGGACTTAGAGGATGAGAGAGCAAGGGAGAGAAAGGCCCAGTCTTCTCTCTGTCATTCTAGCCACCCCAGTTGAGGCACCAGACAAATGAGTGAAGCCACTTTTGATCCTCTATCCCCAAATGAATTACCCAACCCAACATCATGTAGAGCAGAGCCAGGCTGTCTCCACTGGGTCCTGCCCAAATTGCAGAATCAGGAGCAAATAAATGGTTGTTTGTGTTTTAACCACTAAATTTAGGGAGCTAATTTGTTACAGCACAAAAAGTAATTGATGCAAGGACCTTGGGTGCATTATTCAATCCCTGGACTGGGCAGAAGACTTTATTTGGGTTCCAATTTCTTTATATATAAAATCAAGGATAGGGCAAGTTAATCTCCAGGGTCCCCCTAACATTCCATTGTTCGGTGAATAATTGTGTTCTATCATTCTATCACACTCAGTGAGCACCTACTATTGCTGGCTAGGTGCTACTAGAAGTGTTGAGGTGCAGCAGATAAAGTGTGTACAGAACAAAGTCAAGCACTTAGAGGACAATATACACCACAGCAGACAATTGAGGTCTGATATAGTAAACATTCCCCCCAACCACGGGGAAACAGAAAGAAGAGAATCTTCAGACTAAGATTCAAAAATTCTTTTATACTGGCAGAACTGGCCTCACATTCCTTAGAAATAGTAAACCATGACTTCTAATAGCTTCATTTTTATGATAACATCAATGCAAAGTTCTTTGGCATGAAGCGAATCCTGGTTATTGCACAGACCTATAAAAGTCTGGGTTTGCTGGATGCCCAAGGTAAGCAAAAACTTCTTTTGGATATTTGATGGCTTTTATATATTCCAATGGCACAGTCAGGAGTACGAGACCGTTGGAACCCACCCTGAGAAGCAGAGAAGGAAGGCTGAATCCCACCTACCATCACTGCCTGCCTGCGTTCCTCCTATGTTCCAAAATGTTCACACGGAGTAGGCAGATAAACATGGTCTCTGCCTTTAAAGCTTTCAGTTTAAATTGAGAAGCTATAAATGTAAATCGGAAATTGTATCAAAAGCGTTGCTTTATTTTCTATTTGTCCTTCTGGGAGGACCCATTGTGTATAATCCCTAGGTAAAGTGCTGGGTAACAGAAAGCTCTGGGCTGGGTATTAAGAGCCCCCAGTTGTGGTGGACTATGCAGCTAATTCTCCATGTGACAGTGAGCACGGCACCAAATGTCTGCTGGCCTTGCTGTCATTCTCTGATTCCCAGGACTGAATTAAACCTCACCTGGAAAGTAAACGTGGATGTTAAAAAAATGGGAGATTAAAACACAGAATCATCAAGACTAGGAGAAAGAGGCCTGGTGCGGTAGCTTATGACTGTAATCTTAGCAATTTGGGAGGCAGAGGCGGGATGACTGCTTATGACCAGGAGTTGGAGACCAGCCGGGGCAATAGTGAGCTGCTGTTTCTACAAAAAAAATGCAAAAACTATCTGGGCATGGCGATGCCCACCTGTAGTCCCAGGTAGTGGGAAAGTAGTGGGATTCCTTGAGCCCAGGAGTTTGAGGTTGCAGTGAGCTATGATCACACCACTGCACTCTAGCCGGGGGACAGAGAGAGAGACTCTTGTCTCAAAAACAAAACAAAACAAAGAAACCTGTGTGAAGTGAGTCAGCAAGGTTGAGTTCAAAGACCCAGGGAGAGGTCTTTGGGGATTCTTAGTAAAGCTTTCAAGCTTTCCTGCTAGTTCGAGGTTTGAATACAGTATCACACACAAGTATGCGTTTGCCCCTATGTTGCCAGTGTGACTCGTGCAAGAAAAGCCAGAAACAGCAACGCCGAGCAAGAGAGCTGGCTGAGAAGGGGAAAAAAACCGGCAGTCATGAAAGAAGGAAGGGAGGAAAGTTCTTTGTTGGAACTTGGGGTTTCAAAGGCATGGGCCCCACCCAGCCAGGGAACTCCGGCTAGGAGGCCACACTGAGCTGACCAACGCGCAGAGAGAAACGGAGCACAGCTGTCCCTGGGAAAGGGGTGCCTCTGGGGCCCGGGTGTGGCGGGATCCTGGCTTGTGGCTTGGGCGCCCCCACTCCAGCCCTGGCTCCGGGCCAGGGTAGGCCAGGCTTTGCAGGGTGGGACAGGGCGAATCGCCCTCCCTGTGCTCCTTGCGGGAACTGGCGGCCAGAGGTTAAGCTAATATGTTTGCAGACGGTAATGGGAGCTGGATGCCAAGGGCCCTGGCTCAGGGTAGTCCAAATTTATGTGTCTTGGAACAACTCTTTTCTCCATTGCATTGACGCCAAGGGAAAAAAAAAGTGACTTAACCAAGCCAAAGTCTACTAAACTCTTTCTAATTTATTAACCCGAGCCCAGGCCGAGAACTCGACGTGGCACTCACGAAGTAAAATGAGGAAGGGAGGAAGAAGCGGGCCCATAATGGGCCTCCCGGCAGACCTCGGCAGGGCTTTCCTGGAGGGCAGGGCCACGGGCGCGGGGGCCGCTCCCACGCGGCGCGGCTTGGGGAGCAGTCCAGGGCGCGGCTGCCCCAACCGCCCGGCGGGCCCGGGAGGGTGAGTCACCCTCATTCTGGGTGGGAGCGGGCAGGCGAAGCGGGGCGGGGCGGGGCGGAGCGGGCCTCGTCCGCTCGGAGAGGATGTGGCAGCTATAAAAGCCCCACCCAGGCCAGGCGGCTCTGCTCGGCATCTGGGGACGCTCGCGGCTCTCTGCGCCCGGCCCAGGTAAGCAGGGCGCGCCCCGCCCGCCCGCTATGGCCCCGGGCCGCGGCGCTAGCGGGGCGCCGAGAGGCTGGGAAGAGGGTCTGCCTCGCGGGGAGGCTCGGGCAGCGGACCCCGGGGGGCACCGGGGGCCAGTCCGGGGCAGGGGGCTGCAGGGACGGTCCGCTCCCGGGGTTCCGCGGGGAGGGCGCGCAGTGCGGAGGGCAGGGTGTTCGGGGCAAGGGTAAGGGGGCCGCTTGCCCCCGGGCCTAGGGCTGCAGGGCGGCGGCGGGGGTCGGGCATTCCCCCGAAGTCCTGGCGGGAAGCGGGCCGGGCGAGCGGAGGAGGCCCCGCATTCCGGGCGCGGCGGGCGCCGGCAGCAGCAGGGCGTGGCCGCCGGGGGAGCTGCACGTCCCGGGCCGAGCGGTGGGCGGTGGGCATTTCCCTCCACGTTCAACAACAGCTTTGCCGCGCTCTGCAGAGTAGCTCCCCATCTGTTCCAAGTTACTTCACTTGAAACTAACGCGCATTTGTGGAGCTTGAACCAGCCCGCAGGAGGGAAGCAGTGGGGAGCATGAGGGGTGGGAGTTTGAGTGGTCAAGTCCCCCCCCAATAAAAAAACCAAAAACCTCAGTTCATTCCCCTTTGTTTAGATTATCTTGTAGGATAGCAACTTCGGATTTCACTGTATGTGGAGTTTCCTGCCTGGTTGAACACATTTTTATCAGGAAGGAAGTGTCCCCCATGGTTCTGCGGGGAGGGCTGTCCTGTTACTTGTGCTGATGCGACAGTGACTCAGGGACTGAGGGTACAGAAAAGGGCGTGGCCCCCAGGGCCTCTCGGTGCCCTGTGCGGCAGGTCCCAGAGCTGGTGTGGACTTGGGGTCCATCACCTGGCTGTGGAGAAGCAGGAGGCGAAGGTCAGTTACCTCATCTATGAAAGTGGCTTGATAAGGACGCCCACTCTTCTTATCCCAGCTTGGTGTGGAAAGCTCTGACTCCAGGGAGTGGCTGTGGCATGGAGCTCTTTGTCCATGCCCTTTGCCTCCTTGCCACACCCAACAGCATTATTGAAGATTTCAGAAAATATGTTCATTCAAAAACATGTACGTAAAGTACGCTGAAAACACTAAGTGCTACACAATGCAAAGGGTCATTTTTGTACTAAGACTGGCATTTTAAAGCTGTGGTTGTTCTGTGTGTAAAAGACCAGTGGCCTCATGGGTGCACACTGAGCCTTTACCAACAACCCTAAGTGCTTGGAGTCCAAGGGCCCGGATGTCAGACTGACTGCTGATGGATTCTGTTCACACATGTGCCTGTCTGGAACTCGGATTGGAATGCGGAATGCACTCTCCCCCTGAAACAGTGGGATAGAAGGAGCTTAGGTTCCCAGGCTAACCCAGCAAAACCTACTTAACAGGCACGGGATCTAAGTACTGCCTAATTTGGGTGGGGTGGGGTAGGGTGGGGAGGGTAGGGGAATTTGGGAAGATGAGGGGGGCAGGAAGAATAAATCACTGAAATATTTTTCTGGAACTTTTCTTAGGTTTAAGGTTGGCCCTGATTAAATTATTTTAATTAGAAAATTATGCCCCTGCCCCCTCTCCACTTTCTTTTTTCCACCTTCCTCGCACCTCCTTCGAGACCGTCTTCCTTGACACGTTACGACAGCCATCCGGGCTTGTCCAGTTGTGCCGTATTCCTTCCTCCTCCTCCGCATTTCAGTGTACTCACATCCGGCCAGAGATTAGCGAATTGAACCAATTTTCATTAAGTTAGGAATGGTTGGTGGTCTGAAAATCCCCAGCAACCCAAAGCAGTTGTGTTATTCAAAAAACAACAATAAATAAACCTTGTTAACCTAAACAGATCTGTGATTTATACAATTCGAGGCTATGGAATCAAGGAGCAGTAATATTCAGGCAATGTGAAGGAAGATTTTAGGTGAGATCAGGGCCAGAGCAGTGTCCTTTGTGGCCAAGGGTGTTAAGACATTCCTGCTCAGCACTTTCCTCCCATCTTCTAAGTCCATTGATTATCTAAAAGTCTGAAGGGTTTCTCCAAAAGCGTCCATCACATTTGCAGTGGAAGGATGTGACCATAATATACATTTTTTTAGTTGGGGATTTATGATTTGGAGACGGCCTGGATTTTGTAATTCCCTCAGTGCCAAGTGGCCTGCTCGTGGTGAATGCCGAGGAAATATTGCTGACTCACTGGCTTTCGTTAGGACGCAGTCTTGGACTTGAGTCTTCATATTTAACATCCTGTGTCTTTGGGCTATTAAATTATGGTATTGATTGACATTAGGCTGACAGTCATGGCCATTTGTTTCCTGGCTAATTTCTGAGTTAAGTAGTTTTCCTGGTAAGGTAGATATTCTTATATAATTGCTATTGATTTTGAGGGCCATAGGCTTCGCCTGCACCATTGGGCCTAGAATCTGGCTCTAATGCGTTGTTACAAGCCTTTGTTCTCACTCCATGCTTGTGCAGGGCTTGGGACCTGCCAAGCCATTTTTCATTAAGGGAGGGTGGATGTGTCACAAAACGAGTGGAAGGCTCTAGTGGGCTGCTTTTTTTTTTTTTTTTTTTTTTTGAGACAGAGTCTCACTCTCTTGCCCGGACTAGAGTGCCATGGCATCAGCCTAGCTCACAGCAACCTAAAACTCCTGGGCTCAAGGGATCCTCCTGCCTCAGCCTCCCAGGTAGCTGGGACTACAGGCAGGTGCCACCATGCCCGGCTAATTTTTTCTATTTTTAGTTGTTTGGCCAATTTCTTTCTATTTTTAGTAGAGATGGCGTGTCACTCTTGCTCAGGCTGGTCTCGAATTCCTGAGCTCAAACCGTCCTCCCGCCTCGGCCTCCCAGAGTGCTAGGATTGCAGGCGTGAGCCACCGTGCCCCGCCTCTAGTGGGCTGCTTTAAACATCCATTTACTCCACAAAATATTAATCACCCACTATGTTCCACTCACAGTTATGTGGGTTATGGGGATACAGCAATGAAAAAACAGACAAAAATAAAAAATTCCTGCTCTTTAGATCTTCAATCTAGCGGAGAGAGAAAGAAAAGAGACAAAATAAGTGAATTGTACAGACAGCAATTAGATTTTTTTTAAGGGATGGGTTTCGCTCTGTTGCCCAGGCTGGAATGCCGTGACACTATCATACCTCACTGTAACCTCGAACTCCTAGGCTCGAGCGATCCTCCTGCCTCAGCCTCCTGAGTAGCTGGGACTACAGGTGTGTGCCACCACACCGAGCTAATTTTTCTGTTTTTTGTAGAGACTGGTCTCTCTCTTTGCTCAGGCTGGTCTCAAACTCCTGGCCTAAAGCGATTTTCCCACCTTGGCTTCCCAGAGTGCTAGGATTACAGGCATGAGCCACCGTGCCTGGTTGGACTGGATTTTAAACTTTCTATTTTCCCAAATTAATGTTAGTTTCCAAATTTGGCTGAGGCTCATTTCCTCTTTAAGCCAGCTGTTCCACACACCTGAGCATCATGTTTAACTCTCCTCAGGGAAGTGTTGTTGAAGGTTATGGCATCTTAACCTGCCTTCCAGATTTGACTATAAGAATTAAATAGAAATTGAACGTTCCTCTTTTTTTGCACATGAGAATCCTCTTCCGTCATTTTCCCTGGGGCCACACCCTATCCTAGTTGTAGGCCACACCAAAGGAAATTCCAGTCCTTTAAAAAAATTCTTTCCACCCATTTGCTGTCTGGCATATTTTTTCTTCTGCTATTGCCAGAGGCGGTCCTCATCTATTTTGTTGAGGGTACAGGTTCGCAGTAGGGGACAGGAGATGCCCACACTTGTGCTTCTGGGTGTTTCCACTGAGATTACCTCCAAATCTCCCTTGTAGGGTATACCCTGAAACTTTTAAGCCATCTAATTTCAGCCTTGTCAGAGCACCCGCGTGGTCTGAGTTCTGATCCCAGGTCGGTGTGGAAAGCTCTGACTCCAGGGAGTGGCTGTGACATGGAGCGCTTTGTCCATGCCCTTTGTCTCCTTGCCACGCCCAGCCTGCACACTCAAGCTCAGAGGAAGTCTGAGTCCTAAGGCTTCTTGGACATCCTGCCTCCTTGTTGCCTCCTTGCCTGTGTTCAGGCCAAAGGGAGAGGTAGGTTACATCCCCATGTTGTCCTGTGAACAGAGCTAGGACCCAAGCATCCCTGACAGCACAGAGGTCGGGGGCACAGGCTACATGTGATGAGAAAGTGGCTGCCCCCTAGGTGATCTGCCAGGCTTTGCAAAGATTTGCAGAGGCTGGGAATTTAAACTGCTAGCTCTGAACGGGTGGAACTGGAACCACATTTGGAATGTTCAATTTGAGGGAGAGAAAAACAATTGAGGAAGGAGAGTGTGTTGGAAAAGGAAGAAAAGGCTTTCTAAAATGGGAGGACCAGCATATGTAAGCCATCCCAAGATGAGATTGCATGCCTGTTGTGTGCCAGGCTCTGTGCTTAAACCTGTGAGGCAACAAGGAAGTCAGAAACCCTGTGGGTGGATAGCGTGGAAGACAGCCTTTGCACACTCACCTCTGTGTTCCACACACACACACACACACACACACACACACACACACACACAGAGGGGCAGGAGCACAGGGCAAGGAGGGCTGTGCGAGAAAGGTAACATTTATTATTTTCTGTATCCTAACGTCTCATTTTGCTGATCAAGATAGAGGCTCCTGGTGGAGGGAACTTGGAAAGGTAGGGAACAGTGCTGAGTGTGCTTGGAGAAGAGTTAACAGTGCAGTCTGACTTCGGTGCAGGGTGTGCTTGTGTGTGTGTGTGTTTGTGCATATGTGTGTGTGTGCAGAAGGTATTTAAGGAAAGGTAGGCAAGTCCAGAGTGTGGAAGATCTTGAATGCTGAGCTTGGACTTTTCTCTGTGGGCAGCGCGCCCTGTTGAAAGAACAGTACGTTAGCCATAAAACACTCCAATTGAGCTGTAGATATGAAGGCCTGAATTTCCCAGCCCTGAAAGTGCTTGGTGCCAAGTGACGTCACCCTTCC